CAGAGATTGATGCATTTCAAGGATAATGAATACCGTCATTTACACATTCCTTCAGCTGAAGTTTTATAATACTAAAACCAGCAAGAAAAATGTCAAATGAAACACAGAATGTAACAAATCTGGGGCCAAACTTAACTGCATGACAGAAAAAAAACCCTACATATCTGTACCTTTTGGGGAAGTAGCTGGTGAAATAATAATAAAAGAGATTACATGAGATGAGTGATGGCTGTGTATTCTGTGTATTAGGTATGGTGAAAAGTATGACATCAGATATTAAAAACTGAAAAAAAGAGAAAGTGCTCCCTAGAAATGCAATATTTTTAAAATAAAACATAGATAAAGTTCAATGTATTTTTGTGCCATATCTCTGGCTGTTGGAGATGATAAACATAAGTCTGCTCTGCTCTGTAGTTTAAGTCAAAGTCAACATATGCCAGCTCTGTGTCTGTTTTTTCCCTTGTATTTAAAACTGGACTCCTGTGAATGGGACTACTCTGAAGCATCTGCATAACCTATAATCCCTGAAAAAAGGCAGTAGAGGAAGAACTTTTTATGCTTTCAGTACTTGAGGGTCTTCATGGAGGAGGGAAAACAAAAAGATGTCATCTATTTCATTTTTCATTTACATTAAGTGGGTATTCTAGAAGTGACCGCAACTGACTGAAAATTTTTTGCTATTCTGTTGGGGAAAGGGTGGAAAACGTAGGTATTGAAAGAATTTCTCAACTTTCCAGTAAAAAAAGTGAAATGAACCTAATTGATAACATGCTTTTTCTGCATCTGAATTGATGGAATATTCATGCATATTCACCTTAATTAACACTGTGTCTGCAGTTTACGACAAAAATCTTTCTCTGGTCTGGACATAGTGGCTGGACTGCCTCTATGTCATCTCTGAGTGATCTGGGGTTCCTTACAGCACTAAAATTTGGATAAAGTAGTCCAGGTGGCCTATAAACGACTGAGAAGGTAGACACAGTCAGGATCTTGGTGGCCACAGTGGAACACCAAACAAAATGGTTTGAATCAAAACACCATCCCAAAGTGAAATATTATTTATTATGCTACAGCTCAAGCAAGATGTTTAGACATTTCCAAACCCCTACCTTATTTCTCATTTGCATTGATGAAAACTTAGTGTCTTGTTTTCAGGATGTGAGGTGTTGAGAAGCATTTTAACATATTATGATATTAAATACATAATATCATAATTTCTAGTCGGATGCAAAACCCAGGTTTTACCAGCTACTAACAGCCTCTGGAGAGATTCAGGCTGATGAGGTTTGTTATGTCAAATAGCTGTAGATGAAGAATACTAAAAACACTTGAAAATAATCAAATAATACAAATGTAAAACTACAACTCTGAGACAAGCACATATTTTTATGCTATTATTTCCATATGATTTTTATGTGATATTAAATACCATTAAATTGTCACACTCTTAGCAAAGTCAAATAGGAAGATACTAATCTGCAGATTTATATTTCAGACTGTAAAGAAATAAAAGAACCACAGTAGATAGTTAACATGAACAAAGTTGCGAAGCTTTTTTTTTTTAATGTGAAACTGATTAACTGAAAAGAAAGTAATTTATCAAGATCACCCATCAATTTAATGTGAACAGTTCACATAAATGACAATAACTGTAACCCCTTTTCTTGTGTATGAATTATCTCAGAGCAGGCTGTGGAAATTTGAGGTGTACCTGTAATTAAATATATATGCTCATCAATTCTAAATCTGTAGTTTATTTGCAAGAGCTTTATATACAAATTCAATATTCAAAATTCAAGCTGCTTGATTAGGTCAGTAGGCACATAATATGTTTCTACCTTGAAGCTTGATTCTTCATACCAGAAATCTGCTATGAATCATTCAAAATTTGCTTTTTGCAAATACTCTTCAATAATACGCTCAAAATTAATCAAACATTATTGTTAGTACCTCTAGTCAGCAGAATAGTTACAGAAAGCACCGTTCAAAGTACTGTCTATGTACCTTTCCAGTGAAAGGAAACATTGTTGCTAACTTGAATTTACCAGCATAAAAGAACAAACTATATTTTTTGCTCAATTTTTGAAAGAAGAATGATATTAACATACCTGCAATATATGTAATTCTCTTAAATAAATATATCGGTAATTTATATTGCTACTCCCACTTTTTTTTTTTTCTAACAAAAACCCATTCTTCATCCAAATTTTAAATACAAAATAAAAGTATATTTACTTGTGGAGGTTGGATGTACAATATTTATCTGAATTAGTTTGATCCCTAATTTGGAAGATACATTTTTCAGCTGCTAAGCTATACATTAACATGGGAAGCTGCTCACCTAAGCTTTTTTTTTTTCAGTGCTACAGAAAATACTAACAAAACAATTAAACGACTGCTTCAATGAGAGCTGCACTGCATGCAGATAATAAATATGTTTTCTTATATCATTTTCTGAGTTTCTTTCCTTTTACTGGCAGGCTTACAGAACTGCAAAAGCCATGAAAACTCAATGCTAACTTAAAAGTGCAACCTCTGTTACTTTAATATCTTTGTACTGTGTATCAAGGCATCTTTTACATTAGATAATGAAATGGAGATGGGGCAGAAAACACACCTCTGAAAGACTTTCTACACAAAAGGATGAACACATAGTTCTTTGCACAAAGCATTAGAAAATACTGTGATATTTTATTATTAAAAATGCTGCTGAAAAGTTTATACATATGTGTCCAGCCATATATATCTTCTATCATTACTTAAGGCAAAAAAAAAAAACCAAAATTGCAAAATAATAACAGAAGAAACCATTAAACCCTGTGTGCCTCTTAAGGTCAAGAGTATAAGCCTGGGAAAGTACTTTTGTTTTACATTTTGCAAAGTATATTCTGATATCATTATTATAGAATTCCATGAAGACTGTATAAAGCTGTTCCATCTACGAATCATACATCATTCCAGATGTATCAAATTATTAAATCAACTCAATTGTAATTGCTTTTCAAAGCTAAAATCATTCACTTACAGGAACCTTTTTTTTTTTACCCAAATGTCACAAGCCTGATGAAGTACTGTACATATTCCTAGCAGAAAACAATTTGAAGTAGTAAACAAATACTGTAATTCACATTACAAACATACCCGACTGATTATGATGCCAAGCCTCATTACTTTTTTTTCCCTTTTTTTTTTTTTTCCCTTTTTTTTTAAGACATGAACTGGTGCATCTCAGCTGAGGCATTACATAGACGGTGAAAATGGGCTACTATGGAGTCAGGATTAATCAATATTATGTGATGGATCAATGGAAAAAAAAACAAACGAAACAGTTTTCCATTTGCTACAGTTGTACTTTGGGGTTGTTGCTTCATCACATTCCAACCTGAGCATCCAGGTCAGGTTTATAGCACATTTATGACAGATAAAGGATTATATCAGCCACATGTTGCATTTTTATCATGTAATTAACTTTTTATTTCTTCCCTTCACAATCTGTTTTACTGCCTGCTACAACAAGGAGTTGTGCAGATGAACAGACCTCAGTGAATCGGTGATTACCTTGTCTTTGATTTTATTTGTAGGGGTGACTATTCCAAGACATTGTATTAGAAAACAAAAAGCATAGAAAACAAGAAGAGGTACAAGGCATCTTGTGTTAGGTACTTATGGGACATATGATATTGATGCAGCTTAGTTGTTCATTAATAATAGAAAATACATCTGGGATAATCATATTCAAGTGGAGACCAATTCGTTCAAGTATCTTTGGTTACTATCTCTCAGTGATGGAGTAACTTTCAAAGACAATATATAAAGCAATCTTCATCTGTGAGAACTTATTTCTAGCTTTTCATATTTGAATCAGTTGTTTTAATCAAAGTGCTAAGTTCCTTATTTTTATACCTCTGCTTTCCTGCCTCTGCAAAGGAAGGACAGAAGGGAATAATCAGCTACAAATTTTGCCCTTCCTGAGTGATGCTTGCTGGGATTTTCATTTTTGTTCAGATGAAGAACAGCTGACGATGTCTCTGCTTCTCTCTCAATGTTCACTGACTATGGGACTGCTGTGTGTGATAAATCAGAAGAAAAAGTATTTTCTGACAGGTACACTTTCAAGCACAAAACAGGATACTGGGCAGAGAAGTTCTTTGCACACTAATCACTTCTGAATGCTTTAAAAACCAGCCAGCCAAACAACTCACCATTTCCCCAAATTGTGGTTCTGTTTCACTTAGCAAAGCTAAGAAGGTGCTTTCTCAGCTGAGATTTTGCTGCAACTGCTGGTGAATATAGAGCTAGCTTTCATCAGAAAAGGCTGACCAAAACACAGGCTTTCTTTGCTTTTGTCAGGGCACAAAACTCTTCCTGATGTATCACAATAACCAAGAACTACAAACTGGACTCTGAATATGTATTATTGGATGTTTCTTGGTTCAGTCCAACAAGCTTAAAATAGTAATTATTTTCTCTTGTAGGTTTTTTTTTCTCCATTTTCCAATCCACTGCTGTGTTGCAATTTAACAAAGGCTAACACAAAATTAAATTATAGGAAAAAAAAGTTTCAGAAAAGAACAACGATCTCCTATGAATACTTTAACATGCACTAGTGTAACCTGTAAGAGAAAATACACAGGTCACACAGACAACTGTATCCTCTGCATGACACCATGGCCTCATATAAATGAAACATGTTAGAACAAACTCATGGTTTTTGTTTACCACTAGTAATTAAGAAGAAATTCCTCCTTTGGGCTTGGAGGAAACAGAGGTGATATGACTAATGTATATACACATAGGTCACAACCAAATGCACAATCTTTCTAAAAGCTCTTTTCAAACTGAAAACATCAATAAAAGCTGTTTTTTTTTTTGTTTTTGTTTTTGTTTTTAAACTCACAGCTATGTACAATTTTACAAAGTTTCTTTAAATATAGTTCATGCTGGCAAGTCATCTCTTTGCACAGAACTATACGTATTTTACTGCATAGTCAGTCCTCCTCTTTTTTTTCTGTTTTTGTTTTTAATAATAAAATTCTATTTCCCCAATCTGGATTACAGGTTCATATGCTGGGTAAAAGCCCATGGTGATGTCTTTGTTTTAGCAAGGGCCATTCATGGTATGGCACATAATTTATTATTTTATTTAAAAAAAAAAAAATAAATCAAAACACCTGTACAGTCACTGGCTCTGCATTCCAGAAGACTCTGCTTTGCTTGTTACACTCAGAACACCATTTTAAGTGAATTCTTCTGGCCTCAACTTTCAATCAAATTGGCTGAGATCTTAAAGCAGTATCATAACAGCAGTGTACACTTTTCACATTTCACAGGGTTTGTAGTTGATCTTTAACATCAGTGAGTTTCTGTGGGAAGGATCAGTAAGAAAATAATGACTGTCCTTCTCTTTAACTTGTTTTTACTTTAGATTTTGACAAGGTGTTCAAAGGATGGTATTATAACTTTTTCCTCTTCTTTCTTTGTTTTTTCTTTCTTCCAAGTGGCTTGTAAGGGTAGAGGGGGAAGGGCTGAGCTATACCCTAGTGGTTGAATGTCCATGGGGCAAATTTGTACTGTTTTGTCCTCCACTAAAGGTGTTGAAAGTATGCAAAGGCTGCATTCCTGTTAATGTGTTTGGAATCATAGTTATGGTATTGGGTGTCATTAACGGGATATCATCTGGGGACCTTCTCAAAGTAAGCGTGTAGTCAGGTGGACAGGTTAGTCTCAGTGTGTCATGGGCCTGCAGCGATTCACATTCATGGTCATGTTCTAGCTGTTTCATTTGCAACGACATAATCTCTTCATTTTGTATGTGTGCTATATCGTTAGTTGTGTTCCTCTGGGGGCTAGGGCGCCTGTGAGTCTCATGACGTCTCTTGTCCTTCTTGTAATATAATGCAGCAAAAGCTAAAATATTGAGGAAAAGCAAGGATGCCCCCACAGCAATGGTGACACTCAGCTCTGTGGAGTAATCTCTCTTGTTTTCTATGAGAACTGTCGTATCCTCTGGAGCTGTTTTATGGGTGTCTTTTGAATGCTTGGGATTGTTGGCAGGTGTCATTGCTGGGCGTTTGGTGGCTGGCCACAATTTACCAGGAGAACGTCGTGTCACATAAGGAAATGATGTCATGTCAGGAGGGGGGACTTTAGTTGTTGTGGAAACATACTGAAATATTTCATTCAGGTTGTGAAGGTGTGGTACGAGCTCCAACCAGAATGCAACTTTTGTTGCTCGGTAGTGGTCACGAACTCGGGGTTTCAGACCGATATGCAGGTAAAGCTGATCTTTAGGATTGTATTTGGACCAGGCCACTTCTTCAAAGCGGTTGGGTTTTGTGTGGATGAACTTTGTGTCCTGTGGAACAGGCTGGTTTGGATCTCTACAGAAATAAAAACAGGCAATATTATACTCTTTAAAAAAACTAAACCAAAAGCAAAACCCCCCAAACCCTCCATCTTTCAGTTATAGTTTTATTTGATAATTAACACAACCTAAAACCAGAATCTAAAAGCCCTCACTAACGTAAAAAGATAAGTTAATAAACAAACAAAAGAAAAATTACTTACTGTACAGTGCATACTAGACACTATAATACTTTTTTATACTAAAATGGAGAAAGGGTTGTGTGTCAGCTCGCAAAAGCTCATCTGAAGTTCTATGTTTCAGTATCAATCTCTGAAGATGTCTTAGAGAGGTACTACCTTTATCCATAGCAAAGGTGTGGGTTCAGCTCTTCTCAAGGTTTGATATTAATTTTTCTCACTTAAGGTACCACTACTTCCACTGCTGTAAGTAGTAAATATGGGCATCTAATCCCTATGGCAATGTTGGAAGTCCATGTGACTGTAAGTATTTACACTAGCTGTGTATATTACTTAAAAAAATTCAAACCATGAAGTAGCAGGGCTAATACATAACTGGGAACTATTTATCTTTGTGTTCCTTTACTGAATTATTAGTCCCCATTTTTGTTCCAATACCTACTTTAGGGAAAAGCCTTTGAAGAATTTGCATGTCACAAATCTTTCCATTATTTGCATTAGTAGATTACTATTTGAAAGTTCTGTGTGCTCACTGATTCTGAAAGACTATGTTTAATGGGTGTAGGACAGTGAGCCTTAATTCTGTCCCAGTTTGTAGAGATGAGAAATATATTACCTGAGATCAAAAAGTTTTATAGTAGTTAAGGAGCAGTACAGATAAGAGTAGTACATGACTCAGAGATTATTTCAAAACTGGTAACCCAAATATTTAATTGAAATTATGCTTTTTCCATCTTTTGCTTTTCTTCTAATAGGTTCAGAATAAAGACAAACGAAAGGCACAAAAACATTTAAATGTGGTTATTGTCTATATATCCTTATAATTTTGATAAACTTTATATAAATATTACTTCCTCTTGGCATGTAAAAAATACAGAAATTTAAGATTACTAATAATAATTTTAATATTCTGTTGTGCACGACTTTGAATCTCCTGCAGCAAAGAGTATGTTATAGAATCATAGAATCAGACTAGTTAGGGTTGGAAAGGACCTTAAGATCACCTAGTTCCAACCCCCTTGCTGTGGGCAGGGACACCTTACGCTAAGTCGTATCACCCAAGCCCTCGTCCAACCTGGCCTTGAATACTGCCAGGGATGGAGCATTCACAACCTCCCTGGGCAACCTATTCCAGTGCCTCACCACTTTTCCTCCTTTCCTTCTTTTCCTAACAGGAAAGAATTTCTTTCTTATATCCAACTAAACTTCCCCTGTTTAAGTTTTAACCCATTAGCACTTGTCCGGTCACTACAGTCTCTAATGAATAGTCCCTCTCCAGCATCCCTATAGGCCCCCTTCAGATACTGGAAGGCTGCTATGAGGTCTCCATGCAGCCTTCTCTTCTCCAGGCTGAACAGCCCCAGCTTCCTCAGCCTGTCTTCATACGGGAGGTGCTCCAGTCCCCTGATCATCCTCGTGGCCCTTCTCTTGACTTGTTCCAACAGTTCCATGTCCCTTTTATGTTAAGGACACCAGAAATGCACACAATACTCCAAGTGAGGTCTCAGAAGAGCAGAGTAGAGGGGCAGGATCACCTCCTTTGACCTGCTGGTCACGCTTCTTTTGATGCAGCCCAGGATATGGTTTCTGGGCTGCAAGCGCACACTGCCAGCTCATGGACTTTGCGATACATTATACTGAGTACATGATTCATTTTCTCTGAATTACTTTGAGAACTTTCCATTCTCCTTTCTATTCCCACATGCATTAGTTTATTTTCTGTGAAAATGATTCTAGTGTTTGCCTTTTCTTCCAGTATACTCTTATGCATGTCACAGGAATACCAAGACCCACAACTACAGATTTGAAAACATTTGGTTTCTTCTTTCCCCATTTTCAAAAGCTCATGAACACGACTGCCTACTTTAGCATTCCTCTGCTGTTCATGAATAGCTATTCCTTGGTTCTTCAACCAGACTGGTAATTTGACTTTAATAATCATATGACTCCTGTATTCATCTGTTTACCTGACAGAATTTGTCTTAAAGTTTTTGAGTGAAAGTATGAGGATTTTTTCTATACAATTTTGGTACTTTGGTTACTTATACCTGTGGGTTTAGGAGTTGTTTTTTTGGGGGGGTGTTTTGCTATTTTTATTTTTTATTTTACTGGATCAAAGCTATCTATCTCTCATTATATGTAATAAGTTAGCCAAATTGTGTTAATTCTGAATGAAAATTGCACAGTAATTGCTCATTCTAGTCAAAGCTCAAGGAGTAATATCCACTTCCAAGAAGTACAGCAGCAGCTGTGTGCTGCTACTTTGAGGGATTATAACATGCATTCAAGAAGGAAATAAAAGTATGTCTTTTGTTCTTAAAGAATGGACTGATAGAACTGGCAAATCCAGAGGAGAAGATACTGGACCCGTTCAAACGTATCTATTACTGTATTACCTTGGCATTCAACACATAAATTCTAAAACAAACTAAAAGTCAGCAAGACTATAAAAATGCAAAGCATTTTTTTTTCTTTACAGAAACTCAAAATCCATCTTATGTTCTCCCCATTTGTTATCCTGGTTCACAGCACAAAAGACTCTGGGAAGCGTCCTACACAAAACATGCAAATTAAACTAGCTCATGTGAACATGACTGTTCACATGTATTAGTTGCACTACATACAGAGTACAGGAGATGAAGAAGCTGAGCACTCATTTCAGTGAGCCAGGCTGGACATGCACTTTTTTTTTTTTTTTAATGGCCCCATAAAAGTGATAGCAGATGATAACTTTAGCAATTAATCTTTTAAATTAGCATTCTCTTCCCCTACAAACAGCCTACAAAACAAGTAAACATCAACCTCCCTTTTCTTTCCCTCTCTTTCATTCTCTACCTCCATTTCTCCTTTTTAACTATAACTGTCAGGAACAGCCAATTATGCTGCCACCTCCTCCAAACACGAGAGAGAAAACCACATTATATGAGCGTAGTCTTGTATTTCAAGATTTGTTTACATGCCTGTGTGCAGGCATGAAACTGTCTGTTGAGCAGAAAAAAAATCAGCAGGCCCCACAGCAAGTAATTTTTTTCTGAGGGTTTTTGTTCTGAGGGTTTCAGAATTCTACCACTGGCATGAGTTCTAATGTTGATCACTTAATAACTGAATAAATGGTCTGAATATTCTCTCTGAAATTGGAGGATAGGTATAGAAATAATTTTTTCTTCTTACAAGAAGAAAACTAGCAACTGTAATAACTAAGTCCGGTGTTAAATAAAGGATCTAATGATCCATGGATCAGTTTTACAGAGTAATGATAATTCACCGGAAATATTCAGTAGATATAAATAAGTGGAACTTTTACTTTCCTTGGCCCTCCTCCTATGTACGCTGGACATAATTCATAAAATCATCACGTTACAACTTATCACAAATTAAGTCTTTTCTTTAGGTAGCTGGGCAGTTTATTCTATTATGAAGACCTTTCCAGTATTATAGATAGGCATAAATTACAGATGTACATACAGCCATTTCTCCTACTGAATCAGCTGTTTGGCAAAACTTTTGATCTGTTACTTTAACGTCAAATTTGCTTTTTTTAGCCTGTCACATCACCTTAGTGTTTGTGGGTATATCTGATGCTCAAGTGTGCAACTGCAGAAAGAAAAGGCTGCTAGGAAACCTCCCTTTCAAAACCTGTTGCAATCATGCTAATCCAGTAATGAATCTGATAGGAATTGGATTACTTACTTGTTAGCAGGGGCCTTTTTTTTCCTTCATCCTATTGCTACAATAAGACTGATGATTATTGTTGCTCATTTTGCTCTCGGATTATTTATTTTTATCACATTTAGAATTCAATTTAAACAGTTGCTCCATCAAAAAAATGCCCCATCATGCAATAATTGAACTTGTCATCCATATGACAGAAGACCAGGACAAGAAGTCTTTCTTGTATTATCTAGCGTATTTTTTAATTAATGTGTAGAATCATTTGACTTCACTAACCACTTTTTTCCCTGCTTTCAGTCTGCACTAATTTTGCTCAATTTAACATGTTGCTATTTATTGACGTTTAATTCATAACTCAACTACAAATGTTATATAATCAAAGCTTTAACAGCTATAAATGTTGTGTATTCAAAGGATTGACTTTTTCTCACAAGATATAAAGTACATGTGTCTTCAATGGATGATGACTGAAGAGCAAAACACATTCCTGATCACAAGGTGAATTAGTAACTGACCTGAAGGGCAATTGAGGGAACTGAGTATTTCATATCTGGTGATACTGGCACAGGAAGAATGATGGGGAATCTTAAGAAGTTCACGCTTATCCTGGATTCCATATAACTTGTTAAAATACCATTTTAACTACTTCTGCAACAGTGTTAACTATCACACAGGACAATGGAACTATCACACTAAAGCATTTTAAGTGTTTTATTCTTTTCATCATTTTCTAACTGCATTGGAGAGCAAAATGTCATAACAGTTACATATTGAGTCTGTCTCCAAGACACTGAAAGACCCCTTTGACCATTTATTTTCTTTCAGCAGTCCTCTTTTTCTCCATATGGGGCGAGAGGGGAGAAGAAAAAGAAGAGAAAAAGAAAAAAAAAAAAGAGAAAAACTCTGTGGCATTTCTTCTTGCTTCTACTGATTTTTCATGTTGTCATAATATTTATAATGGTACAGCCATTTCTGCCTGAAGCACTGGTACACAGGCGTATTTTCCCTTACCTCCTTTCCTCACTTATCACCAGGTCCCACTGTTGCCATGCTCCCAGTCAGCTACTATAACTACTAAGGAAAGTAAACCATAAGTACAGTAGTTTTTTTGGCTAACACAGATTGGCCATTGGAGACAGTTATTTCTTCAGAAAAAACAGTCAAAAAGAGATACAACAGCCTCATAAAGGGCTTCACAGAAAATTGACTTGAAAATACACTTTAATCATTGTGAGTTTAATTGTGCCTTCCATTGGAAAGGCAAACTGAATATAAACCAGACATTCTTAATAGCTCAGATAGGTTTCTACTTCAGAATCAATGGTAGTAAAATAATTCATGAGTATTTATCTGAATTACAAGGAAAACAAAGAAATATCCTTTAGGTCTTTAACTTTCCCATCACCAAACAATGTAGACCTGGATGATTGGGAGCAAAACCAAGAGTACTGTAACTCTTTAAAAGAAGGTAGTTTTTAGAAACCCAACATATGCCTCTAATGAGAGCAGGGCTTCTTATCTACTCTATGAAACTTCAAATCCTTCTTCACAAGAGTGTGTCTGACAATGTATCTGTGAAGGACTGGCACACATCCCCTCATGTTGTTCACTCTCCCCCAGCTGATGTATCTGCGAAGGATCTAACATAGCCCTAACTAACAGAACATTTGAGCATTTAAAATTAGCCTTACATCGAGGATACTGGCAGTATCCTTACTGGCAGTAGACTGAAGTTTAAAGTGCACCTGTTAATGAAGCTCTCATATATAATTTTGCACATAGTGAAATCAAAAGTTGTATTTTCATGTTATTTTTGTATCCCAGATGTAGTTTCTCCCACCTAATCTGTAACAAATTGCTTTCCTATTTCTAAGGCATGTTAGAAATATAGTTTTGAAAGGGCCAAAACACTGTGAGAAAAAAAAAAAAAATCATAAAAAGGTAGAAAATGGAGGATTAGCAAAATGCAGCTTCCAGGTATTCATTTCAAGCACAAGCCACTTGCCATTAAACACTCTAATTGTAACCTCCTGTTTGTTAGCTTCAGTAACTGACTTTAAAGTAAAACGCAACAAAAGCACTGTGCCTTGTGCTATTTCTTTGACACCTAGTGATTTTACAAGCTTAACCTGCCCTCCAAACCTAGCCTTGGCAGTAGGCCCATTAAACAATGTGTGTTTTTTAGCAGCAGGTGGCATATCAGTTAAAAGCCCAGCACAGTTCATCAGAACAATGCACCACCTGAGCTGTAATTATACAGTAAGTACCTGGTTGCAACCTCTGTGGGAGAGTCATCAAGACTGGAAAATTCTCAGAAACATTAAATGAAATAAATAAAACTGCAGTGTTAATGTTCAAGGCCCATCAACAGGAAAAAATGGAGTAAGAAAATCTTTCAGTTAACAGATTTTTCATGTGTTGCTACGGGTACAAACACAGAGCAAGTCGAGCTCTATGAGAATAAGGATGGGAAATGCTCAATTAAAGAAGGGGTGGGGAAAACAAGCAAAACAAAGCCCCCAACAATGCAGTCCTGAACTGTATCAATCTTTTTGAGAGTGGGAGGACCCAAGCGGGCACATGGATTCCAGATTACATGTGGGAGGATAGAGAAGAGAATGGTTATCCCAATGTGTTCCCTGTTCCCTTAGGCTTGAAATGCTACAACCTTCCTTTTGCATTGGAGGCATCACAGATGCACAGCAAATGTAATATGCACTACACAGAACAATTAATCATTGTTCTTATAAACAAACAAACAAAAATGGCAAGTTATCCATTTCATGTTGCTCCTTTCCTTGTGTAAACTGAAATTTTACAGCTAACTTTTTTAATGACACATCTTTCATACCATGTATAAAGAAGCAAGTTTGTAATAGAAGATACACTCCCCATTCCTGTTATCAGCAACAGCAAAGTTTCAGAAACGGCTAATGGCTCTCCCAAAGCACCTGTTGTGCCTTTAGGTATAATATGGCAATGGGTTCACAACCAGAGAATTGGGTGATGACATGTATAGCCTGCTGAAATTAACTTTCAAGTAGCAACAGCTGGAAAGTGCTTGCAGTCATGAGTGATGGTGGCAGCTGGAACTGTGAGAAGCTCCTGACAGTCTCAAAATAATTGCTTAAGTATGACCTCTTATGCTACAGGGAATAGTCATAGAGTAATTGTAAGCAACAGATTGTGGTGATCTTGCATCTTGATAATAATTCCAGTTTTACATATTTGTAAGGATCTGAAGTCCTCTATGTATATGTGTCACTGCATCTATAAAAATAGACTGATGGGATAATCATCTTTCTGAGTGTATGGTACAGCCAGCATGTGGCATTCTCTGTCCATAAACCTCGCTTTCATCCTGAAGTTTGCCCTGATGACTTCCTGTTGCCAAATGCATTTAAATATTCCACAGTTCATTCATTATTGTTGCAGTACTGTGGGATTTCTCCATGCAAAAGTACCTGTTTGTCTAAAATGCAACAAAAGCTTTATTTTTTGCCTTTTAAATTGACCTGAAGCATTTGACTGTTTTCTACTGAATCAATGTCTGAGGTTTTTGTTAAGACTGCAAAATCTCTCTCCCTTGAATGGCATTTGGATTCATTAAAGGCTGCAAGAGTTGCTAAAGCCTCTGACTGTTTCACGCTAGGCATCTCTGATTTTCTCTTATATAGCTGCACACCATTCACTGCAGTGCAGTAAAGCTGCAGTTTCCAGAGTCCAATCCTGCCATTCAACATTCATTGGAAAGATTTACAGCCCCTTTGTGTCACAAGTATCTTTGTTTTAATTCAGTAGCCAAGACTCAAGGTTAAAAAAAAAGAGGCCTTGCTGCTCAAGTAAAACACTGCAATACTCTTCAAAGGAATGTCACAGGAAGAGTACAGAAATTATTAAAAGCACTTGCAGATTAAGCTGCCTTGAGAGTTCTTTCCTTGATATTTACAACACTTTTAGCAAAACATTGATGTCTTATTTTGTTTCATAACCAGAATTAATTTAAAAATTTTAACCTTATCAAAGCAAAATTTATATCTGAGTCTTTTCTTCATTCCAGTCAAGTACTTATTATTGTCATTACAGTCCTCAGAGGGAAAATTCTTTCCAGTGTCTGCCTTTGTGTTCCAATTCGTCCCTGAGTCCTCATCCCTGTGAAGGTCGCTAAAAACACCTTCCATTCTTTTGTAGCTGATAAGTGCTATCTGCCTGACAGCTCCTTCAAGTAGCAGACATGTTGCCTCTGATTTTTCAGTATCTTAGTGAACCCTCTTCTTTCTGAGACATGCTTTGTCTTAATAATTGCCCTATTTTTTGAATAAAAAATACAGTGCATTATTATTCTCACTGAGCTACTGAAAGAAAATAGTTTGAGGGAACACACTAATTAAAAATCTATTAAATATGAATAAGCCCCAGTTACCTTCTGTCTTATGCAAGTACTGCTACAAAACTACTGCAAGATTAGGGTTCAAAGCCACCGCACTCGGATGCTGACTATTTTAGAGCCATGCTATCAACCAAAAGGAATGCTGGGGGTCAAACTTACCCAGTTTTGGCGAAGTTTGTCCAGTATGTCATAACCACTGCACTGAGCATGACATCATTCTTGGAAAAGTTGCAGTTGAACAGTTCTGTGGGGCCAATCATAGGAATTCCAAACACATAAGGGACTTCATCACCATGAGCTGAATCAGCCCAGCTGGGTTTCATTTCACTTTGGCAATGGTGGTAAAACGCATAGAAATATGTTGGAGACCCATACTGGGCATGCAGGTCAGCAGTAGCAACAGCTGGAGCAACCCACTGGTGGTCTGTAAAAAGAGCAACCAGGGTCTTCCGTCTTGTTTCGGGGTTTTCTTTGTCTGCCCAGTCAGTGTACATGAATTTAATGGTCTCTCGCAGTGTATCTTTCCCTTCTGGATAACCATATAGATTGTCCACAAAATTGGAGACAGAAAAGTCAAAGTCATTGGGGGAAACACCATCTTCATTGTCTACAATGCCATCCACAAATTTTAGACCTTCCCCTTGGTTCACGCCCAACATTATATCATAGTTCAGGAATTCCCCTTGCTCCATGAGAATCTGAGGGTCATCTGGAATCACGTCTCCATCTATCACAGGCCCAAAGGCAATGTGGTATGTGGCTGGAGTGATGGTCTGTTGAATGAGTTCTTTGTAATTCTTATTCCGAAGACATTCAACCAAATCAGTGGTATCCAGCATGTCACAGCCCACTTTATCTGCCAATATCCGAGTGTACTTGGCAGGCTGATAGTTCACTGCCCAGCTGGACAAGGCTGTGCCGCTCTGTATGATTGCCTTTTGGAATAAGCCTGTGGGTGCAAATTGTTTAAATGCAAATCCAATTATATATATATATAAAATATATTTAATTATATATATATAATTAAAAGCAGCTTTCACAAAGCAAAGAAAGTTTTGTTTGAACAATCACTAAAGGATGCATATACCTAAATTTCAATTAAATTTCCATATATTCTACTCACTGCTACCTTTTTATAGTATCTCTAAGAGCCTACTAAGTAAAGTATCTCTTGTTCTTGATGCTCACACACAAAAAGCATGATGGTTTCAGGTTACTGTTTCAAGAACAAAATCATGCTTGTTCTGCAGTTTTCTTGCATCTTTAATGGAAGTCCCCTGGCTTTAGCACAGTGGTAGTCCTGTAAAAAATTCTTTAAAGGAGTGGCAGCTACAAGCAATCATATCCTCTTTGCCATGTAAATGATTCTCATAAATGCTCTCTTCAGTAAAGGTCAAATGAAAATTACACACTCTCATTTCCTTCATAGAAGCCACGTATCACATAATTTGAAAAAAAATCTGCTCTGCTACAATCAATTTAATAAGCTTGAGTCTTCTATTCTGACGTTTTTTTTTCTTTACTATTTCAGTTTGTGTGTGTGTGTCAGCATTGCCTATATGCTGAATTAAAATATATTTACTTTTTTTTGGAAGTGTGTAGGATGAGATTCAATAGTTCTTTTTTTTTTTATATATGTACTAATATAAGGAGAGACAAAAGACTGAGTCTGAAGAGCTTTGTGTCAGAGCACTGAAAAGCTTACTGATGAATCTGCTTCATCTATTTTTTCATGGTCAGATCACTAATATGTCCTATTTTATACTTAAGTTGAAATGCCCGGGCCTCTTCTGCACATGGTTTATACTGTCAAGTTTTGTCTTTTTTTGGGGGGAGGGGGAAAGGAGTGAGCGAGTAGAAGGGTAAGGTATTGAGGATAGAAATCCCACACCTCACTTATGAAAGCCTTAAGAACTCTGTATGCGATCACACAGTCCTTGTGGGAAGTTAAATACATTTTTAATAAGGTTATGTTATTATTAAGGAAGAAAAGCATGTAAATACATGTTAGAAATGCAGACAAGAGTGTGTAAAAAATGAAAAAGGTCACTTCCCTTTTCTATTTTAATTAAGGCAAATTCTTTGATAGAAGAGCCATTGGAGTCTGCTGATAAAGCTAAAAAAAGAATACTGCCCATAGCATTTATTGCATGAAATTTCTGCTATAATAGCATCTAATTTTTCACATAATAATATTTATGTTGACTAATACAAATCCAGAATATTAGCTAGCAGGTATTCTACAAAAAATACAGACCTCATATGATTCTAATTCAGCCTACCTGTTATGGCTGTTTTTGTTATACTGTAATGTAAAGGAAAAAAAATAAAGGAAAAAAGTACTTTGCTAGGAGAATTGTTACCTTCTGAATAGTGAGAGAGTGTCAGGAGACTGACACATGAAGCTCCTGCCCCAGATCCAAAAATAGTAACTCTTTTTGGGTCTCCTCCGAAAGATCCAATATTTTCTTCAATCCAACGTAAAGCTTGGATTTGGTCAAGCAATCCATAATTGCCTTTTGCAGCTTGGTCCCCAGTACTTAAAAACCCTATAAGGCAAAAAACAACAACAACAAAAAAAAGGATAATTTTAGCTCACCAGATACAGAGTCAGGTACAGGGTATCCACATATTCACAACACTTCTTCCCATCTTTTCATTTTGTGGGCTTTTTCTTCTTTTTTTTTAAAGGTCACAGTCTTTAGTTAAATGTCTCCAGTGAAGGCATGAAGGCAATGGAGCTCATTCTGTATGCTGTTTGTCTTCAGTTTGTTTTTCCTTACTGCAGAGGCCACATTTGGGAAAAATAATTATTTCCAGTTGGAAATAATTCTGTATCAATACAACAGGACAGACTGAAGATTTTATACATTTGATAACTGCATGTAAGGTGAAAAAAAGGAGATAATTTCTTTGCAAAGAAGCGTTATCTCCAGTTTTTTATTGAAGAACAAGGCTCCATAACACATTAATTTAAACGCTTCCTACTATGGACCAAAATGGTTCTGAACTACATAGCTCTTTAAATTATTGTACTTGTGAAATGGATACACACACTCGCAAACAGAAAAAGAAGCATAAAGAAAATTGTAAATGGAGCAGGAAAAACCCTAGGAAAAAATACACTCCAATTTCACAGAGGATATTTATTAGGAAGATACCAGGTAAATCCTTGGCAATTCAGCCTTTAGTAGGGAGATTTTATCTGAACAAATCAGATTTTCTCCCTTTCCTTGGAAATTGCAGGGAGAGCTGCACTGCTGATTTTTGTTCCTGTAATGCGGTTATCAGGTTTTAGAAACAAAGCATGACACATTTGCTGCTTATCTTGCAACTGAGAAGAAAATGACCAAAAAGGTAGGACTAGGATTCATTTTGTTTTTCTGAAACCACGTAAGGTGAAACACTGCAGTTATCCACGCTGCCTATCATTCACAGTTAAGATCTTGAACTATGTCCAAATTAACACATTAAGCCAGCAACTCACTTTTTAACTCCTACAGACCTTACCCTGTCAGACAACTAGAAGTCAGAAGTCTATTAGAATTTACCTTAAAACATACAAAGTTTTCAAATGGACATTACCGATTTAGGCACTGCTGACAGCTGCTTACCAAGACAAAACTTGGCTGGTGTTTCCAAGCTAATTATCAGTTCAGACAAATTTGCCAGAAGAGGGCCCCAGGACTCTCAAGATCTGCAGTCCTGGAGCAGTTAGAGTCTGCAATCTTGAGCCACCTTAGCCTGCTGTGACAAAACCTTCATATGTTTAGGGAAGCCTACAGTGGAAGCCTGAGGTCCTTAGAGAAAAAAAAAAATGCCTTGCAGTACATTTCACCTGCTTTGGCAGAGGGGAATCGATCTCTTTGCATTGGCTGCAGGCATTTTTTCAGTGATTGGAAGAATGAAAATTCACTAGGTGGAAGGGATTCACAATATAGAGGAAGTGGAAGAAGAGGAAAGGCATGGGAAAAGAAGAAGAAATTAGATGTCGCACATTTCCACCTGTCAGACTTTCACCATAATGTTTTCTGTAGTGAAATTCCTACAATAAGATACAAAATCCAGCCACAATGTTTAAAAGCAAGATCATATAAGCCCTAAGTTCTAAATATGGAATGCTATATGGCCTGCATTATGGTGGCATAAATTTCCGCATGCAAGGTCAAGCCTGATTGAATGTAATCCATTATCCTGCACCCAAAAAAACCTTTTTCATATTTAATTAGTACTTATCGGTATTTAATGTCAGCAAGTATCATATCTGATGAGTCCTTGTATTTTTTACAAAATGGTTGCTACAACTGCAGTAATAACAATCATATCCTTATTGTTAAATAGCATTTAATATGGATTTCTCATTAAAAATGTCTCTAATAATGGCAAGCACGCTGGTTAGAATAGCAGTAACATCTTTTTTTCTCTTCCATTCTATTGGAGAAAAACACAAACAAACTATTAATCCATAACTGCCTTGTTTTTTTTGACAAATGTATTTTTCTCTTTTTCACATGCCTTTATTATCCTTTTAGGATTGTCAATGAAAGAATTTCACTTGCTGAATTTGTTGCTGCGTCTCACTGTAATATTTCATAATATTCTATAATTAAGCCTTTATTCAATCAGAACTATGACCTCCCTGGGAGAAAGTGACTGTTGTAACCTTTAAAGCAGCATGGTAATCAGTATTCAAAGCCTAAACACATTTTAGCTCTTCTAGCAGCATCAGGCTAAAGCTGGTTGATCTTTGTGATTTTGAATTCTTTTCAAATGTACTAAAAGGTGACCGAGTAAAACTCCAGTCAATGAATATCTGATGTTAGACAAATGAAGATTTTTTGTTTCCAAGTTCTCTGATGATTCTCATTAATTGCAAGAACAATTTTTCTTGATTTAAAAAGTAATCATCATGGCAAAGTGTCAGCCCCACATGACGCAAACTGAATTAATAAATCTGTCTCTTCTTGATGAGGATACATTTTCTTTCATGTTCTGAATACCAGATCAAAATATTTCTTCAAAGCTATCTCAAGAAATTCAGGCAAAGAAAAAAATCTGTCCAGAAATACACAAGATTTAAGATTTACTTTTTTTTTTCTGTGACCACTGTGAATATTTTGAAACAGGATCTTCACGTGTGACTCTAAAATCCTGAACAAAGAATGCAGCCTTTTTTCTGAGATGGGGATTTACACTCTGTGCCTTTTATGTATTTTTTTTTTAACTGCAGTTAATATGTTTCCTGTTGTACGATTTGGTGTGATTTGAAGGGCATTCTGTGATCTGAAAATTAGATTAGGGTTTTGCTAGAACCTGAAAATTCTTCTCACTAGCCTAATGCAACAAAGAATAGCAATATCAGAACATGGAAAACAAACGAGATCTGTTTTGTTTTGGTTTTCCACATAATGACACAGAAAGGTACTAACAGTAACATTCAGTTCTTGACTTCAGAAGCCTGTCTTCCCTTACACAGTGAAATGGAAGGGTCATCACGTGGTTCTTCCACTGGAAAATTACTTGGACAGCAACAGCTGAAAAAGATGAATGGGAGGGCATCCTACATATGTTGAGTGAACTACACCAAATTGCCTTAAGCAACATTTGCTCCAAACTTACCATGCCAGAGGGAAAGAAGACTATTATCTGGACTGAGTAGTAACCAGCGAATTACAGCTTTGTGAAGCAAAGGACAGCTTGAAAAGAAGGGCAAAAGTAGGATGACAATTTGTAAAAGTAGAGAGGGAGAGGTGGGAAGAGTGTAGCAGCTGGACATGGTTTGGTGTTGGCCAGCGGTGTGGCCACTGACATTGCAAACTCCCTCCAGCCTGGACAGAGCATCCTCCCATGGAGTGCCTGCACCCAGCCAGGGGCTGTCCATGTGGGCTGACACACAGGGACTCTCTTGGGGTGTATGCAGCCTTGTGGGGTGTTTTTTAGTCTCTGTCAGTCAGTGAGTGGTAGGAGCTTACCTGATGCTGGAGCAGCCATGCCACAAGAGGGTCATGCTTTTATACCCTTATCAAAACAACTGGCTTTATGCCAGATCTCTAATTGTTTACTCCTGGGACTGTGCAGTTTCTCATGATCTCACTGTTGTCTGCTCTGAGAGCATTGGCCAGGTGCCCCCAGTGCAGCCAAGTATGATGCTCACAGAACAGCTGCACACCTATGTTTTCCTGTCTTTTTCTGACAGATAGTCACAACTAACATAAACGTATTTACTCTACTGAATATGCTATGACAAACATACTTTGTTATGTCTCTCAGTCATGACAGGCAATCAGCTCTCAGCTAGGTTCCCAACCATTACAGTCTGTGGTTAGAACTTCTTACAGTTAGTTATAGAAGGGTGTTTAGAAACTTGCAACTCTTTACTAATCTTCCTTAAGTGTCAAGGATTGTAGTTTATCTTTTATAATGCTGATATTCACTGGCTGCTGGTCAGTTATATGTCATTAATAAATGAATAATCTGATTTGATTTAAACCACATGAATTGAGCAGCTTTTCCCTTATGACAGTTTATTCTTGAAAAATAAATTAACAATGCATTATTTTAGAAGAGGAGGCACAAAGAATTATTTTTTGCTGTGTTACTTGTAATAATCTTGTATCTAATATTTTCTACATTCTTTCATGTAGAGAAGATTAATGCTTTTTTAAATTGAGGTTTCTGAAGTAACAGTTCTATGCATATTTCTCTGATTCTATTAAGGGACACAGTCTAGATTAATGCTTTAGTTTGAATCTACTAGGTTAGCTACAGTCAAGGAGGAAGAAGACTATACATGGAAATAATGGGGAATTTTCCTTTCCCACAGCCTTTAAAAATGGACTCATAAACTACATGCTCTCGCTTGCACTGTTTTAATAATGCAGTGAAGACACAAAACTACACGCAGAACTCTTTTAAATCCCACTTAAACAAGAGGAAATCCCTAGGTCTATCTTCAATGTTGGTTTTGCTACTACACTGCAAAAATCTTACCAAGAGAATAAACACCAAGAAACCAGTGGTGATATATCCCCCTTAATTACTAAAAAGTTATGTGAGAACCCACAGTGACAAATAGCAGATGCTAATATCTATGAAATCCACCCAGTTTACTTCTGTCTATATACAGCCTTCCCCCGAGGCCAGAGGCCATCCATTCGTTAGCACGCCATGCAGACCTTAAAGTGTTGAGTCTAGAGTCTCGAACAGAATAGCTGGACTTCGTGTCTACACTGTACACTTTTTATGTACTGCTTTTACTATGGACCAACTCTTGTCTGGTCCCAGGGGATGAATGAATGACCACTGGTGGATATAGAGAGTAAAGGTCATCACATCTTCCAGCTGAGGTTCACCTGGAAGGGTCCAGGCTGTACTTTACAGAACGTTTCAGCAATGTGAAGCAATGTGAATAATATTCAAGGAGGTGATAAGAATAATGGGGGTTTCTGTGGAAACCCTTTACTGGAATTAAAAATGCTAGTGTGGACATGCTCAGGATCAAAATCATATTCTTCCAACCGTGGAATTTCAATTTACAAAGAGGAGGCTC